AACCCATCCTTGGCTCACGCGGCATGGAAGACTAGGGGATCAACGATGTCAAAAAATAATAAATAAATTTTGCTGACTTTTTCTATTTCCGGCACCTTATTTTCATTATAGTTTTTGAACGAAAGAAAGTGTGAGGTGCAGGAACATCTCAAAATGAATTCTTAGCAATGCTCGTTAATGCTTGTTTATTATTACAAGTGTGGAAATTTGGTTTTACCAGTAACGCTGAATATAAAGTGGTTAGACCTGTTGGATCAAGATTTGCACGATAACGCGATTTACCGAAAGTGCACAAACCCAATCGGCTAATACGATCAATATTATCATCTGTTAAAACGTTTAATCATGGATTAGGCTTGGTGTTGGCAATACGGTTAATTCATTTGAGATCTAGCCCGAGCATTGTTAAGGATTCATTTGAATTTGCTAATATAGTCAAATCTTTCTCAAAATCACATTTAAATCTGAAAATGGTATGTATCATTTGATGTTAAGAATTTATTTACTAAAGTACCGTTATCCTACAGCATGAATTTAATTATTGCCAAGTTGTACGGGACATATGGATCTTGTTTGTAGAATCAGAAATATAAATAAGTATCTAGTGGAAAACTCGAATAATTGTAATAAAGTACCAATTTTCAGTAAACCCGAAAAATGAAAACAATTGAAAATACACCGGTAACAAATCGCCCTTCAAAGAAAAATAAAGAAGTTCACAAGGTATGTTAACGCTGATCGCCTCTAATTAATGCAATTTATGTGACTTGCTTCTTGTCTTTTGCCGTCACAGAGATCATATGTATCTGCAAAAATTGCATACCGAAATACAGTAATGCAGTCGAAGAAGCATTAACACAAGGTAGCTGGCAGTGTTGATTTTAACTGCTGCTTTAAGAAAATGTCTTTTTGTTGTAGGCGATCTGGATGATGATCGAATTAAAAGTCGTTTTAATTGTGAAACACGTGATTTTGTCATGAAAACTTACACAATGAAGAGTGCTATTGATTACAAAAATATTTGCTTGGCAGTTATTCAGAAATATCCAAAATTAACAGAAAAACAAGATTTCGAACTGGTAAGATGGTGGGTGGAACCTGCTGCAAATAATGAGCGATGATATTTTGTAGACATCATTGTCCACTCCACTGTCACAATGTATCAAGAATAAGCGCAACGAAAATAAACGTGCACTTGGCTTGCAAGCAAAACGAAAACGAAAACGTAACAATGAATCTGTTCAACTGAATGGAGCTGCTACGTCCCATTTCGGTGATTCAGAAGACGTGAGTCTCGCGTATTGAAGTTTCAAAAATTGCAGAAGCCATAGTTAAACGTTTTAATCATATCATTTATTTAGGAAACGCAAACAGTAGCAAAACGTATTCGCCTTGTTAAGCGAATTTCTGAAAACAATGTCAATATCACGTCAGAACAAGTAACTGTCAATATAAATTTTCTAGCAGTCTTATTTACCGCTACAATGTCGTTTTTCTTTAGACTCAGGAAACAAATTCGACGACAACTGGTACCGAAGAACTGTTACCGTCTGTTATTTCGGATCAGGTACGCTAATAAATACGATCAGTTTGATACGCTTGTAAAATTCAATTGTTTCTATTTTTTAAAGCTATCCGAAACTCTTAACATTCAACATTTCAACAATAATTTCATAAAAGAAGAAACAAGAGAATTGAAAATAAATTACGTAGAAAATGAACTATCACCCAATACTACGCACGTACGAACTATTTGGCTTTCTGTTTCAGGAGTAAATTATCGCTTTTTCTGCTCTTTTTTTAGCACGAGGAGAACAGTTGGGTCGTGGATAATGAAGTAGTTATTGAAACCTCTGTGCAACGAGAAGGTACAAAAGAGGGAACTGGAATAAAAGAAGACGGCGGCGGTATTGAAAATTTTTCAATGATTCTTCATAACGACAAGGAACAATATTATCAGAGTCGAAAAGATGTGGCCAAACGAATAGCTCGTCGAGCGAAATATATAGAAGACAATACAGGGGATGGTGATGAAGAGGAGGAGGAAGAGATCTGTTCCAGCCGTTATTCAACAGCAGAAAATACTGCTCCAATTGCTCAGGTGCAGCATGTTACAAAACTGCCATCCTTTCAAGTTTAAACTACGTCGAACGCATCGAAGATTATTCTCATCAGAAATGTGAACAATCAAACTGTTCCTATTTTACTGGGTAAATATACTCCTCCCATTTGTTCCGTTAGACGAAAAAATTTTCTTGTTTCTAGCAAAATCAAGCCAACCGTCGTCAACCATATTAACCCAACCGCCATCTTCATCATCAAATATAGGTACATATAAGAGCCATTTCACATAAGCGGCGACTACGTTACATAGAACACTGCTCAATCGTATCTCACACAAGTTGTTGAAACCAGCCATAAAAGAAAATATAGACATTTCTGAGTAAAATGGCGCTTTCCGTTTGAAAAAATATTGCTGGGTTGCTGAGAAACGAGCATTTTAAAATTTCGACCAACTTTTGAAAAATGCGACATCTCTCATATTGCACAGTGGGCATATTTGGCTTGAGCAGGCGGACATTGGTATTTAGAGTAGAGGTACGAGTGAAAGGAAAATAGTTTTCTATAGGTTATCGACCATGCTCTATCCGCTGGTGACGTCAAAACCCGTTTTTAAAAACTTTCAATTTCGAAGGTTTTCCAGAAAACCCGGTTTTTCGCCGAAAACTCTTACTTTTGTGGAAAAAAGGTATTGAAGCAACCAGCTATTACCATGGAGAGAGGAGAAGTTTTTTTATTCAAAAAGTTGTAATCATTCAGGAAGAAAAAGTAAAAAAAGCAAAGTAAAGAAAAGGTGCATAGTTTTTTTATTAAAATGAAGTCAATGTTGAAGGGACGTTGGCCGTTGACGTTCTAAAACCTCAACGTTTCTCCTCCTCACCACGGAGAGGTCTCCCTTCTTGGAGGAGGAAAATTCATCAAAACGAGCGCGTGCAAATTAGTAAACTTAGAATTTTCTTTAGAGACTAAAAGGAGCTATGAACAGTTTCACTGTATCACTGGAAAAATCACTGTAAAAATCACTGTGCTTTCTGTTCGACCTAAAAGAAACTAAAAAGACAAAAAAAAGATTTCACTGGAAAAAGTCACTGTAAAAAATCACTAACATAGAATTACTCAAAAGTAAGTCATCTTGATTCACTGTACTCATCCACCACTATTTGATAGGTCCGTGGAATATGTCCTGGCCATAAGCCGATCCTCATAGAAAGATGTTAGTTCTGTCCATTACCACAACCTAAAACATAACCGAGACATCATTAACCTAGTTTAAGGTCGTCGCGGACCCGTAGTTTAACGTCATTGCGGACATAAGTCTCATTGCTTTAACGAAAGAAAGTTTTCCAATAGTTATCATCCAAAACATAGTCCATTAGATGCAGTTTTTCTTTCTGATTCCGAATATGATATTATTTTTGAGTAAAAGTGCTTACTGAACAGAGAAAACCTCGAAATACTGCGAAAACCGTACGGGTTTTTGAAAATCCATAGAATATTTCTGGAAGGTTGCCGAGATCAGCATATATACAGTAGAGTCTGAGGAACATTTTGATGTGTTTAGATGTCAGTTTTGAGTGGTGCTACTTAGTGCGTTGTAACTGTACCGAGGTGGTCTCATGTCAACTAGATGTTATGAGACATTTATGTGGTATTTAGAGTAACGTCCGGACTACCTACGCATGCAAAAAAATTACTAATGTTGTATGTTAATTTTCTGGAAACGGAGCTGGTTTTCCAAAGATGTTCTGGAAAACCGGCTTTAGAAACTTTTCCAATATTTGTTTTTGCTTACGAAGCATAAAGTTATCTTTTTTTATGTCTAACGGTGAAAACCGTACATTTTTATCTGCTTCCGTTCAGGAGCTATTCAAGTTAAGCTTAACTTACAACCGACTCCATCATTCATTGAAATAGGGAGTAGTCGATCCGCGTAATTCATCATGACTTAAAATCACGTATTCTGACAATTGAAGAGGAATAAACAGCTCATGATTTGAGTTGAGGGTGAGAGCATCAAAAACGACATACTACGATTTTCCTGCTTGTTAATTAACTTGAAAACAGCAAACATAAAAGCTTTAATTTCTTTATTTTACTTGTACTTTTTAAAAATAAATTCTTTTTCACTGATTTATCGTTATTTTTTAAATATGATTGACGAGTTTAATCGTGGCAATTTAAGACTTTCCAACGTCATTTCTGGATGAAAAAATTGAAAAATACTGATCTTTTAAGCTGTAGAAAAAACAGTGAAAGTCAAAATTTCATGTTTGATCGCTGTTCGAAATTCCAAAACCATTTTTTTCTTAGTTTCGACCGAAACCTGAGTCTTTGGAAATTTTAGAAGTTAAACGGGACTCAGAATCTGCGAAACACGAGTAGAATGGTAAAGGGCTCTCGGCCAGTTTTACGAACCTATGTAGTCCTACAGTTTTGGAGATAATCCCGAAGCACATATTTTCAACTGAGTTTGTAACGCTAATTCGAAAATGGCCTTTTTTGTGTCGAAAAGTTGAATTTCGATACAGGAAACGGCAATATACGAGCCCAATTTTATTGTTTTTCTCACTGATTTTGAAAAAATTAAATTTTTTGGTAACAGAACAAAATTTTCCAAAAAGGATACTTAACTTTTTCCAAGCATCGTGATCAGAATGAAGTATACTATTACAACGATTTCACAAAGATGCATGGTAATCAAAAATGATATTTCAATATTATATTAAGGTTTGGAAAGTTTAGTGTAGAGACTCAACCACTATGTTCATCTGGTATATGTTGAACAGATATTCGGCATCAAGAGTTAAAATAGAAACAACGATCAAGTCAGCCATTTATGATAAATAATCAACGATGGGCATTAGCCATTTATCTCACAGATAACTTGGAAAAATAAGATTTGTTCTGTCTGTATGATGTATTATTTATTTGTCAACATTACAATGGTGATAGTAATGAAAAGAAGACACATTTATCTATTTGATGGTTGAAGATCGAATCATTGAATTATTTCGTTAACGTCTGACGTATATGGGCTAATTGCGCTGGTATTGTACCATTCATATCCGACATGTAAAAAAGCTATAACTTTTTTATTAGTTAATGAATCTTAGTGGAATTTTTGTATGTTATTTATCTAAAATATGCTCACTGCCACTGAAAAAATTAACTCAAAGCTCCAAGTGGTTATTGAGGTATCAGCAACTTAATATGAAAAACCATGATTTTAGCTGACACGTAGCGAGAATAAAATCAATTTTTTATTTAAATAAAATAACATCTCAACTTGCTCTTTGCAAATAAATTGTAGTAGACACATGCTGCTTTTAAAATATGTGAATGAGTTCCAAATTCATACACCGTTTTCAGGTAAATTCACGCTAACAATGGCGTTGCAGACTAAAAAGTGCTTTTTTGTCTCGCGAGGATCAGCACGATGTAGCTCAGCGCAGACTTGACTTAGACTTTATCGAAAATATGGAAAAGATAGCTGACAGTTAGAGTAACATATTGATAAAAAAAAGAAATTAATTTAATTATGTGTTTCGTTAGACAGGAGCAAAAC